TTATAATATTTTACTTGTCTATAAACCATCATCATAATTATTAAATACATATTAAATTATAAGAAGATTTCTTAAGTCACTTTTTAGCTGACTAGTAATTTATTAAATACATGTCACTAACCTTTAGTTATTTATCTTATCTCTCCCACCTGACTTGAAACACGTGTTGAGCACATAAGAAGATATAATATATTTAAAATTCAAGTAAAATGATGACAATATATAATTAGACTTTGGAGATTATATTTGGAAAATTAAAAATTTACTGTAGTAACTGATTATATTTCACTTGAATATATCAAAACTCAAGATAATTTATTCAAAAAACAAATATGCTGATTAAAAATTCTACAAGCCAATGACTTTGATATAAAATACAAATCTATAAAAGATAATATAATAACAGATACATTATTTTGTTAAACACATCTCATTAATATTAATATTATTAATACTAAATTAATTAGTAAAGATGAATTAATTGAAAAATATAATAAAAATATATATTTTAAAGAAATTTTAAAAATATTGCAGAATTTAGAAGAAGTAATACCAAAAGAACAAGCATTTTGAATTAAAAGATGATAAAATTTATTTGAAAAACACATTCAAACTCATTATCACAAATAACAAAAATTTGAAGACAAAAATCTTATTTAAATACTGTGACACACTTATTTCTGAACATGTTGAAATTGATAAGATATATATTAATATTAGTTAACAATTTTATTGACCAAAAATGCAAATAAATATTCATAATATGTTATCAGTTGTGAATTATATTAATGCAAGTAATAATTAATCAAGTGAATTATTACAATTTTTTTCAATATCTCAAAATAAATGAAAACAAGTCACAATGAATTTTATAATATAATTATCAAAAATCAAACAAGATTATAACTTTTTTATTGTTTTTATTAACAAATTTACAAAAAGAGTATACTTTGTTTCAATATATATTATTGTTATAATATCAAATATTGCAAAAATATTCTTTAATAAGATATTTAGATTATATGAATTGCCAAAACTATTATTTTAAATAGAGATATCAAATTTATCAGTCAATTTTGAAAGTTATTATTCAATTAATTGAATACTAAACTGGTTATATCAATAACTTTTTATCCACAAATTGATAATAAAACTGAAAGATTAAATAAAACTTTGAAAGAAATACTTAAAATTTTTATCATATACAAACAAGATAACTGGAATGACTATTTAACTACTACAGAATTTACTTATAATAAGTATCTATTTAATATACTCTATTTGAATTAGATTATAAATAATCATTTTACACATTCATTACTATTAATACTAATAATAAAGTAGCAATCTCTCAAGAATTCTTGAAATATTGAAATATCATAGCAAAAGATGCATTAATAGAAGCTCAAAATAGATAATAAAAGTATGCAAATCAATATTGCAAATTTGAAGAATTTGAAATTAATAAAAAGTTTTTTTATCAATTCACTTTATTAATATACTTATTAATAAACAATAACCAACAAGAAAGTTAAATATTAAATATATTGGGTCATTCAATATAATTAATAAAATTTTATCAGTTGTATACAAATTAAAACTTTTAAACAACATGAAAATACATCTAGTTTTTCATATTTCACTATTAAAGTTATATAATGAAAATAATAAATTTAATAAACCAATACTATCACTAGCTATTATTAAATCTGATAATATAAAGTTAAAAATATTCTAGACAAGTGTATAGTGAGAAAATAATCACAATATCTTGGGAAATAAACTAGATATCTTTTATATAATTCTATTTGGAATCTTTGGATAATCTCAAAAATGTAATGAAGAAAATCAAAGCTTTTAAAAAAGTACATTCTTAATATAATGTGAACATTATCTTTTAAGGAGAAGATAATTATAACAATTTTCATATTTTCTTGTATTTTTTTGTATTATATTTATCATTTTTTGTATTATATTTATCATTTTTCACATAATATATAAAAAATTAATACAAATCTATATTTAATATTTCTTAATATTTTGCCAAATAGATTAGATATAAAATATAAATTATATTATTAATTTAAATACACATTGTTTTTAATTATTTTTATTTGTTTTTTATTTCATATTTATTATTTTTAATTTTGTGTTAATTACTTTTATTAATATTTATATTATTATTTATTATTAATTTATTTGTAATTCATTAAACATTAATTATATTTAAATATATCTGTTCTGTATTATAATTTTTTAGATCTTTTTACTATTTTATAAATAAAGAGTAAGCTTTATTAAAATTAAAACTGAAACTTATCTTAATTAATATAATTTATTTATAATAATTAATAAATTTATCTTAATCTTATTCATGTAAGAAAGTATTCTTATAATATATATCAAGTTTTTTGTGTACTTAAAGATATTTTACTATACTTTTTACTAAAAAAATTATATATTTAATAAACTTTTTTAGAATTTTTATTTTATTAATATTAATATAAATAAATAAACAAGTATTTATTTTAAATCTCAAACTATAATGATTATAAAAAAATTAAATTTTTTATATTTTATAACAAATTAATAAATAAAAAGATGTATTTATTTTTAAATTATAATTAAAAGATTAATTATATAATAAAAACTGATTTTATTTTATATAATAAAAATTGATTTTATTTTATATAATAAAAATTAATTAGTAAAAATTAATATTAAAAAAACTATATATAATTATTGTTTTATTTTTTACAAAATAAAAAAATATATTGAAAATAATAGAACTGGTATAATAAATAAATTTTGTGAAATATTTTTTGTAATTATATAAAAAATTTGCTAATAAATATATATATATTTCATGTCTAATATTCAGATTAGCTTTAAGTTTTTGATTAAACTAATAATAATAAATTCAAATATATAATTTATAAACTTATTAATACATATTAAAAAATTTTTCTTCTATATATTTTTGAATCTTGTTTATATTTACTTTATTGCAAAAACATATATAATTAAATATTTTTAGATTACAAAAACTTTGTTTTAATAAATTAATAATTATAATATTTATATTCATTTGAAATTCTTTTATAATTTTGCTAATATTAAATTTATTTCTGTAATCTGAAACTCAAAAGAGATTATAATTACTATTTTTAAATAATTTAATTCAGACTCAGAATTAATATATATAATATATATACATGATTCAAGTTTGGTAAAGAAATAATTGGTATTAAGTTAATATAGCTATAAAAAGTGAAATACCAAACCAATTCTTCACAATTTCATGATATTTCATTACTTAGTTACCATCTTTGCGTTTCAGAGCTCTATATATAAAATTAAAATAATGATTTGCATTCCACTATAGGTTTTTGCAATGAAATAATCACCAAATTTTCTCATTTATATATTTTTCTTCAAATATTCATGAATATAATTTCAGATATTTATTACTAATTCTAACTAATAAATTCTCTTTTTTCGAAGATTTAGATTTTACTTAGTTTAATGAAAATTGTAATATATTTAGAAGAGATAATATAAACATTTATAAAATGTGCAACTAGATATAATAGCTATCAAAGCTAATTTAATTATCTTTTTAAAAAGTCCACCAATCACAACACTCTGTGGCATTACGAGTTTTAATGCACTGAGCGATTTCGTTTCATAGAACTACAGCCAAACGATTTACCAATGTTACCAATTTCTCATCTTCTGCTGCCCATCCTTTCATATTTAAACGAAGACGTTTGCTTTCAGTCCCATTATTTATCAATAAAGATTGTCTTTGTTTTTTTTTGGCAACTGCTCATTGTCTTCATTATTATTAGCGTTAAATGATCCAGAAGCACCAGTGGCGGCAGTTGCTGAAGTAAATTCAATATTAGACGCATTTACAAAATCCGGCAGCTGATTATTTGTGATTTGGGTACATGTACTACAGATCTACTCATCGGTGATGTACTATCTACACGTGACGAGACTGTCTCAATACAATTAACCCTTTACCGGCTGGAATGTACGTCGTTACCTGCGAGGTTGAACATATTACTAGTACAGTTTCTGGTTGGCGTGTCGTGTGGCTTTTCCGTAATGTGATTTCTTTTATTCATTCTAAATATGCGGCCAAATTACTCTGGCTTTGACTCTTAATTGTGTCAATGACTCAATTATTTTGACCACATGTTCAGATACTACCGTATCTCCACTATTATTTTTGTAGGTCTATTATTCCCATCCCATCGTTCAGCAAACTATTCGTCGTATTTTCATGATAATGTGGCAGTTTTCCCGTCTGATTTCCTTGGAGGTAAACTTTCCAAGATCGAGTTTTTTTTGTGTTTCAACCCGTTTGCAAGTGGTAGTTTTCTTCTGGTCCTTGAGGGATATGTTTTGCGGAATTTCCATCTGGTCAATAGTGTACCCGACATTTTCGTTGTTCACTATTATTATTATTGAACGTCTGCGCGTGCAAAGTTAGCATACTCGTGGTGTCTAACAGATTTCCCTGTTTAATTACAAGAATAATCCCTTTTGATCATTTTCTTGTCAGTACAGTGTTATTCCTTTACTTTCCTCTATGGGGCATTAGTGTGGATGTGTGTGTCGCGGGTGACATTCGATAAGAATAAGTGGCTGACTAAAGTCTTGACTCTCATAATTCTTATCTATCTACTTGTTTCAAGAAACTGGGTACAATTTCACTGCGGTGGAGATAATGGATTAAATTCCAGGGATCTTAGCAGTGATCTTTGTCCGAGTTGCTTTCTTATTGGTATGGTATAACCATTTCTTTACATGTCGGGAGTCTTCTAAACCTCACACCCTCGTTATAAATACTTTATAATAACTGGTCGGTCCGTGGATCCGAAGCCTTGATCTCCTTGCGTGAATTCCTCTAGTTCTTCGTGAGTCGACTGGAAAGAGTTCACCGATTTTCGCCAGTTGTAGGTATATGCCTTGCGCTATCTTGCCTCCCAGTTTAAGTTTATATCCTTCCTTTGTGGTTTCATTATTTTCGAGGTTGACTTTGTGGGTCCTTTGTTCGCCAGTTTCTTTCGCTATCATATATCTTGAATCGTCAGATTAGGATATGCGTTTTTTGGTTTGCGTAGCTGGTACTCGGCGATTCTGTTAGCAAAGAGTAAAAAGAAGTCCACAATTTTTCTTGATACACTTTAGGGATTTCCCACCAAGCAATGAGAGCATCTTTTCCTTGTCTCTAAAAACACAAATAGAAACATATTAGTTAATGCTTATTTAAAATATAATGAAATTGATCGATCTAATAATCAGGTATTATTAAGCTGTAGTTTGATATGCAATACAGATCTGGTCTCAGGGATTAAACGCTCTACTTGGGAAGAACGTTAACACCTTTAACCATCGTCACAACGCGCCTGATATGCAATGCAGATCTGGTCTTAGGCGTTAAACGGTTACTAGAGGCATTCTTTTGAACATTAATACCTTAACCATTATTACAAAGGACACGTCACAAATCTGACATGAAGTATGTTATTCGTTCTACTGGAGGCGTAGTCATTCAAACGTGAATACTCTTATCTATCGTCACAAAGAATACCGCTGATATGCAATACCGACCGATCTGGCAGTCTGATATGCAATACAGATCCGTGTCTCGGCGTTAAATGTTCTCGAGAGATGAGGTCGTTCGACGTTAATACCTTTAACCATGTCACAAAGGACGCGTCTGATATGCAATATCTGATCTCGGGCATTAGCACATTCTACTTTACGTAGTCTTTCAAACCCCCAACACTTTTAACCATCGTCAGTATCAAGCGTTAGGCGTTCTACTTGAGACGTAGTTTTTCGAACCTCTAACACCTTTAACCAACGTCACGAAGGACGCGCCTAATATGCAATATCTGGTCTCAGGTGTTAAGCGACGTCTAACACCTTTAACCAACTTTAAATCTCTTCATTAGAGCAATCATATGCCTCTAGGTTTCATCATATGTTCAATTTTATTAAATTAAAGAAAAGGTATACTTAACCGAATTTTAGTAATTTTTCTTTTTTCGAGTATTGCGATTTTTTGAATTTCCGGACAGAATTTTCGCATTTACCCAGGTTTCCTATTGGACGCAAGTAATTCCATCGCTGATTGGTTGACTGCACACCGGGTCTTCTAGATTAACCAATAAAATGCGAAACCGAGACCAGATCTGCATTAATATCCTCAACCAATCAGAACTTAGGGTGGAAATTAGTAAATTCCTATCTGGCATATCATTTTGGAGCACAAATAACTATACGCTATATAACTATCCTTTTCACTTTATCAAATAAACGTAAATTACATTACCAATAAATTTAAATGACGAGCTTGGAGAATGGAATTGTCGCCGTTAAAAGAAATATCGAAATACTAGTCATTATGCAGAATAGGCGAGAAACAAGTAACGTTTCCTACGAGTATTCTGATGATATGGATGGATGAATTAATTGCACGACTTTTTCTTCGTTTGGAAAAAGAATTATTAATGATCACTCGAGTCTATCTATCACTAGTTGGCATATTGATGGTTTTTACTCGAATGTAATTATTGCGGATCAATGACTATTTTTGCGCTATATTGATAATAAAACAAAATTGACTTCCCGTAAATTAATTTTCTCTTAGTGGGGAATTACTATCGTTATGCACTAATTATGATTGCAAGACGCTCATCTCTTGTTTTTCAGCTGGAAGTATTTGAAGAGATCATCAGCTAGCCATTCTACGAAGTGAAATTCGAGATCTTAGCTTTGGAGAATCTCAAGTATAAAACTACCAGATTTAACAATATTTTTGCTTCACTCTTCGAAGAATCAATTTCTCTCCAAATCCATCACTATGAGCCAGATTAGCAGTGAATCGGATAAAGAATTACAGATTGAGAACTTTTCATCAGAGAATACCTCTTTCACAAGTCCACAGTTAGGAATTCCCGAGAACTATCCGCCTCGTCCGCATCTGCTAGACGCTTGCGTTGTATATTCTAAAAGATCACACAGAAACCCTTGCCAGTGGTATCGAGATTCCGAAACTTATAAAATGTACGATATGCGACGTAAAAATATTAACGGTGCCTAAATCAATAATCATGCTAGTATGTGGCCACATCTTTCATCGAATGTGCATAGAGAAAACTATTTTGCTTCAGTTCCAAGTACATGCTGCAAAAGAACAGTCAAAACGTTAGAAATGGTGGGATCGGAGCTACACTCGGCATAGTCAATACCGACCCTCTAGTCTCAAATGGTAATCTGCAAAGTATGAGCTTATTTAGTTCGTCAAGTATGAGTATAATTTATCAAAGTTGTCTTCACAACTACTCCAGCAACTCGGTATTTGGTCGACAGGGCCACATCATCAATCAAACGTGCTAGCGATTCTGCGACCGAGGATAGTGACTCTAGTAAAAACAGAGACGGGAAAAAAGGGCGAATCTCCTAAGTTGAGAAAGTTCTTAACAAAAACCCGACTATTTTAAGCAAGGCTCCGTCAACATCAACTTCGCAGGACACCCTGTCAGAAGAAGACGTCGATTTCATCCCTCTATACAACAAGATTTCCTCCGCTGAAGCCAGGAACGATAGCAGTAGCCAAGCTGTTCTAAAATTTTATTACGATTTCGGAAAAGGTTTATTGCTACGTTATAAATACCATAGGAGAATCCATCGAAAGCGCAAATCTCTGATCTTAGTTAATAATGAGGTTAGAGTTAAATCAGCAAAGAATTCGAAGATACCACTTTTTATAAAATAAGGGACGGAGCACAAAAAATATACAAACTCTTTGATAGTATAGGTGTGAATAAGATGGCATGTGCTAAACTTTTTCGCCATTTCAAAATTAAGCTGGGACGAGATCGATTTTATTGGGTTTACATTTATATTGTTCACGCCACGTTATCAGACCCGCGCAGCGGTCAGAGTTCTACTGCGTCGTACATGAGTTATAGAACATGTATATCGATTATCGAATGCAATTTATTAATAAAGTTTCGAGATCAGGGACTTGTGGAGCAAGGTTAGCAAAGCAACTAGAAATGATATATGTTTTGATCATGCTAATATAAAGGCATTTCGGAGATTATGTATTGATATTTCATATTCTTATGTAGATTGTTGCTTGATCATATAGAATGATCACGGTTGATTAATCACTACTATGGTGGCTCCCACAAATTAAATTTTTTTGTGTATCCAAGCTCATCTTTTTTCAATTTTAAAATGTCAAGCTCAAATATACAAAATATCCAACACCGTTTGGTTACTTTTATAGTAAGATTCAGTTGGGAATCTTTACACACGATTAGATACAAGAAATCCGGGACTACAATAAAATAATTATGGAAAGTAGCAATAGTAATTTTCTGAAAAAAAGAAAAATGATTAAAGACGAGAGACATTTGGAACACGGCTAAGTACATCTTTTTTTTAATTTAATAAAATCGCTCTAATGAAGGGATTTAAAAGCTGTGTGCAAGTTGGTTAAAGGTGTTAGAGATTCGAAAGACTACGTCGCTTAACGCCTGAGACCAGATCTGTATTGCATAACAAATTCTTGATTGTCAGATCGATTAAACTTCATTATATTTTATTAACTAAGATTTGTTTATTTGTATTTTTAGAGATGAGGGAAAGAGATTCTCGTTTCATGGTGAAAAATCACTAAAGAGTACCAAGACAACATTGCTGATATCATTTTACTCTTTACTAGTGCATACAATAAAAATAACAATGAGAATAGCATAGAAGATGATGAGAAACATTCAAATTTATTGAAAATCTCAGACAAGATATGGGATTATTGTCAGCCAATACTAGTGATAATGATGAAGATGGACTTTATATAGGTTTACAATTTAATGATAATAATAGAGATAACATGCACTCTTTAAAAGATACAATATTGGCTACTATTACTAATGATAATAATGACTGTAATAATAACTCAGCACCATTTGCAACTGTTATTATGGGTAATTCTTTTATTGATAATATTGAAATAGTCTCATCATGTGTAAATAATACATGTACATCACAAATAAGTAGATTTGTAATATCCAAATCACAAATAATAATTTGATTAAACAATATTGTTGCTAATAATTATTTTATTTCATAAAATATCATAATTATAAGCTGAATGATAGTTTACCAAAAAAAAAATAAAAATCTATAAGGAAAAAGATTCTATGAATGAGTCTAATAATTAGTTTGCAGTTAATACTTATGATAATAATTCCATCTCTGGTTCACCTAGCATTATGAATGATAATTCAGTTTCTTGATCACCTAACATCATGATTATAATAACAATAATCAGCTACTAGATTTTGTAAATATATCTAATATTAAATTTACTTCAACAACTGTTGTTACTGATACTTTTGAATCATTTAACACTAATAATAATGAAGATAATCTTTATTAATATTAATAAATAATAGAACTAAAAGCAAATATCTTCATTTAATAAATAGCAGAAAATGAGAAATTGATAATATTGGTAAATCATATAGTTATAGTTTCATAAAACAAAATTGCTTAATGCATTAAAATTCATAATGTCACAGAGTATTTTGATTTTTTTTTAAAAAGACAATTAAATTAATTTTGATAGTTATTATATCTAATTGCATATTTATTTTTAAATAAATCTGTTAAATTCACTTTATAAATATACTATTTATATTATTTCTTCTAAATATATTACAATTTCATTAAATTAAATAAAATTTAAATCTTTAAAAAAGAGAATTCATATATACTAATATGAATTTATTAATTAGAATTAGTAATAAATATCTGAAATTATATTTATGAAAAATGTATAAATAAAAAAATTTGGTAATTATTTCATTGCAAAAATCTATAGTAAAATACTTATATAATATAATATATTTTAATTAATTAATATAATATATATAAACTTTAGTTTAAAATTATATTATAATAAAAATCTAAATATTTTTATATTAATTTATTATATTTTTTTATTTAATAAATTTTTCGATTTTTTCGATTATTTTTATATATTTTTTTATATTATTTTTTTAAAGTAGAATATATTAATAATTTTCAAGCTATATATTTATAATATTAATATTAATAATAAAACTTATATAAATATTATCTATTTCTTTTAAATTCAAATTTTTCTCATTAATATTTTAAAAAAATATACAAATTTTTTAAAAATATAAGAATTCTTTTATTTGTATTAAATAAAAAAAATTAAAAGCTTAAAATATATTTGTAATATTATTAGATATTAAATTTTTAAATTAATAAATATTTTTGGAATATTTTACAAATTTGTACTAATATAATCAAAAAATTTTGGTATAATATTAATAATTATAAATTAATCTTATTTTTAACTTGAATAATATAATTAATTATCTATAAAATAATTATATATAAGTTTTTTTATATATTATATATTATTTATTTTTATATATTGCAATATTAAGTTTTTAAAAAAAAAGCAATTAGAATTTGAAAATTTTATTATATATAAGAATAATAGTAATATTTTTTAAAATGTATAATTAAAAACAAAAAATATTAGTATATTATAAAATAAAATTATTTAATTTATAACTGAAATCATTATTAAAAAAATAATATATTATTTTAAATTATTAAAATAATATTTATCAAGAATTTCTTTATAGAATTTATAAATACTTTCTTTATTTTTTGAAATTATATTAGTTTTTATTTAATTAATTTTACTTTGAATTTTTTTGCGAAATTAGTAAAGTTTATTAAATATATTTTAAAGTTTAAAGTTTTTAATTCTTACAAGTTACTTTTTAAATTCAGATATATATTAATTAATTTTTTTATAATTTCTTATTTTTTAGTTATTGAATATAAAAATACTTTGTTTTTATTAATTTTTAAAAATAGTTAATTAATAATAATTTATTTTAATTATATATAATTATTATAATAAGTTATATTATAAAAAATAAAATATTCTTTATATAGTTTATTATTATTTTAATTATATATAATTATTATAATAAGTTATATTATAAAAAATAAAATATTCTTTATATAGTTTATTATTAATATATTTAAGTTTAATTATTTATAATTATTATTTTGAAGTAATTTATTAATAAATAAAATAAAATTTTTAGTTATTATAACTTTTTTGAGTTATTATATTGTTAATATTTTGATTAATTTTCAAAATATTCAAAGATATTTATAAAATTTAAAGAAATATTCAAAGTATTAATAATATTTTATAACTATTAGACTGAATATAAATAAGTATTGAAAGTACTAGTGATAAAATTACTTAAAGATTGGTAATAGTTATATTCTTTAATATAATAATTTGGATAGTTAGAAAGTGTTCTCAAAATTCTAAAGTCAAATATATAAAAATAATAATATTTATATTATAACAAATATGATTCAAAAATAGATTTATGAATGATAACAATAATTTTTTTATTTAAATATAACTTTGTAATTAAAATAAAAAATTATAAAACTAATAATTTTAATATAACTTTATAATTAAAATAAAAAATTAATTTAATATAACTTTAAATTAATAACTTAAATATAACTTCACAATTAAAATGAAAGATTATAAGATTAATAATAACTTTTTTATTCAAGAACTATATAATATTTATGAAAAATATGCTGAAGTGATTATATAAGAAACAAGAATATTTTGTTAAAGAGATATAAAAAAAAATTTGTGCTTGATTACTTACTTTATATAAAGTGCAAATCAAATTTTTTTTGAATGATTAAAAGTGAAAAATAACTAAATATAAAATAATTATTAAAATTATTATTATTAAAAACTTGTTTCTAATCTAATTTTAATAACTATAATATATATTATTTTTATATATATTCAAACTATAACTGAGTTAATACGTAAATTCATGTTTGTTAGTTTATAAATTTCTTTGATCCAATATTCACTTATTTATTTACTTATTTGCTTGTTTATTTATTTATTTATTTATTTATTTATTTGCTTGCTTATCTTATATAATCAGATTCTTTTAATAAAATATAAGATATTTATAGTTTAATAATAATTAAATATGAAATTATCTTGTAAAATAGCTAACAAAAGTTTATATTATAATAAAACTCTTATTATTAAAATTTTGCTCTGTAAAATAATAAAAATAATATATATAATATTAAAAAGTAATAAAAAATTTGAAATATGATTTGAAATTTCAGATATTTATACTTATTATAAGCTACTAAAAAGATTTGCTTACTCAACTTATAAGTTTAGTCAATTATAATAGTTATTATTAAATTTAAAAAATAATAAATTCAAAAGTGAGTAATAAAAATAGAATTTTATCTTATATATTGTTACAATTATGCTATAAAATTCGTTAATTCCATAATTCGTAATATTTCATGAAATTATAAAAATCA